GACTCATCTGTTCTGTCTGACCAGCACTTCAAGCTGTAAAATATATGAAGTGTGCGATCCAATATGACAGAAAAGTCCACAAAGAATACTTGGAACAATAATCTGGACCAGGGAAAGATGATATCACAACATGTGAAAAAAAAAACTTGGCAAAGTAATGAATAATATTATTCTGAACTATTGCCTGGTTCCATTTGCTGGATTCCTCTGGGGGACTGTTGCATAATGCAGATCAACAGATTAGAGGTCTTTACCGGTCCGTTTGGTTGTGAGGATTCAGGATCTGACCCAGTATCGGGGTTAGTCGCACTTTTAAGAAAATTAATACATGCACGTCGGGTCAGGTGTCAAAAACAACAGACACCTGAGGAAGTGCTTCAGGTTTCAAGGTAAACAACGGCTGTTTAATTCACACAAAGCACAAAACCAAGCCATGATGCAATTCAAATCAGGTGTTTCTGTGTGTAGCATAGTAGGAACGAGATAAAAACAAACATCTTAAATAATAAAAAAAACTGAAATTAGAAAACAATATGCATTCACTGCCCATCTGCACATAAGTATGATTTGTTGCGGTTGCCAATAAATCCACTGGATGAGACCACTGGAGCCACTTATTGGCTCCAGTGGTCTCATCCATCCACACACAGTCTGTGGAAAATCTTTAAAATGCTATTGAATGCCCATTTTGTTCTCCATCTCATTATACCAGACCAGATGTGACCCAGTGAAAAAAACAAAAATCATAGTTTTGTCTATTTTTTTTAAATGGCCACTGCACTGACGGTCATCTACAGCCGTGACTGCAGCAAAGACAGACAGCAAGCGCTAACAAACATTGCCCCACTGGCGTCGAGGGGAATAACATATTTTTGAAGGATAAATGGAGTTAAACGGCTTATTACGGCTGAATATGTTGTTCACTCCCTACAGGCTGCTATCCGTCTCCTGTACTTAGCAGGACACGGACTGTATAAAACAGTAAATAAAAATAGAAGTAAATGTTATTTTAGGGCATAAATATTTAGAGTCACAGGCCAGAAGGTTGCAGTTTACCACACACACACACACACACACACACACACATACACACACACTAACTTGCACAGTACAGTGGGAAGGCACAGCATGACCCAGCACTACAGTGTAATCTTAGTCACATGCTGCCTTCAGCAAACAGGGCCAGAAATCCATTTCTGCGACCCAGTTCACCTCCGTGTGTCTGTTCCTGGCCGAGCCTGGCTCAACACGCGGTGAGGTGATCTCCTGCTCTATATCCTCCAGTCAGAGTGAGTCAGAGGAGTTGCTTTAACTAGAGTAGAGGATTAAGAGGAAACAACGCCAGTGATCGTCGCAGTTTTGTGTACAAGCAGTACCTGTGGTGGTACCATTAAATAGAGCAAGCTACGGTTGATCACACAGCGATCCACTGGGGTAGAACCATGATGTGGTTCTTTACACAGAAAAGCTAAAGACCCAACTCTGAAATCTCTGCATCCTGTTCTTCCATCAGATTTCACTGTTTTATTCTGAGCAGAAGAGGAATCACCAAATCTTTAATGCCTCTTTCAGGTATGTTGGTACGCGTCTTCATCCATCGTGTGTTTACAGCTTAACATACTGCATCCAATGAGTCCGGTCCTAACTGTGACACAGCTGATCAACCTTTGGCTTTGTTCATGTGGAGCAGGAAAGCTTGGACAGGGTTATTTCTGTGTTTAAGTTTTGTTTTTAAGTTAAGCTAACAGGATGGCACCCTGCAGCAGTGGTTGGCACCGTCCCCTCCCAGCAAGGAGGTCTTGGGTTAAAAGCTTCTGGTTGTAGTTGAAGCCATTCAGCTGCTTCTCCTCCTACAGACGGACTCAAAATTCTTGATCTTTGACTACTGATGCCGGTGGTAGTCCTGCTCTCCAGGCGACCTGCTACAAGCTGGAGGACCACTTCCAGCTTGGTGGTTTGTATGTCACTACAAAACGCTCACTGAAGCTGCAGGGCAGAACAAAAGTTGCATAAGGACTTCCCATCGTGAGATACACGACTACTGTTGTCAGCTGCAGCCCAAGACAGTGGCTTGGTGTCCACCTACAGGACGAGAGAGGCAGCTCAGTGGCATTAAGGAATACCACAGCAGCGACCTGGCTAGCCTGCAGGTAGGGAGACGATGCTGTACAATTCTTCTGATAAACAGATTAAATTAAGATCATCTGCAAGATACAAATGTCTGATCCATCAGCCTGAATGTAAGCTGCAGTTGTAACTAATACAAAATACAACTAATACAAAAAAAGCAGAATGTACTGATAACAATATTTAACCACATCAAATCCCATCTCCTACGTAAGGATAAGCGCAATAAAGACATTCTGAAAAATACACCTGATATATTGGTTAAGATAGAGTCCCATGCACTGAAAGTCTGTTTCTTGCTTTTCTAAAATAACTGACAGGTTGGAGATTGGTCCCTCACTTAGGGAAGATTGCACATTTTGTGTCTTCATCTCAGAGGAATAATCTCATCTTTCAATCTCCTTGTTTGAGTTAGAGGACAAAGATAACATGAGATTTTTTTTTCCTTGTTCTAAACCAGTATTTCTCTCTGACGGAACACGGTGCTGTAAAATCTGATTACATGTTTGCTTTGAATTTCATCAGCTAGAATTTTTTGCTGGGATTATTTCCTTTTACATAATTTGCACACTCTGGGAACCTTCAGCCTGAACACTGATCCAAACAATCACTCCATGAAGTCAACCTGGTCTTAGGATTTCTGAAGAGCCGAGACAATCAAAGGCAGTAAAATAACCTGCTCTCAACAGCCTGTGGTGTCGAACACTCCACCACCACACTGGTCCCATTAAAAAAAAAAACCCATTCATCACAGGACTAAATGACTAACGCCCGTCACCGCAGAGATCTGTGGTTACAAAGGCTTTTGATCTGCATGTCACTGTCTCGTCAGCCCCCTTTGCAGACGGTAAGCAGCAGGGGAGGCTGGCCAAACCTACAGCAGCTCCTGAACAGTCAGCGTTGCCTCCACAGCGATGCGAGCTCTCCCAACTGAAAGAAGCATCCTCACTGGGGTGTCTTAAAGTTGTTTCACTGCTATCCATCAAATCTGAAAAAAGTGACAGGTCTGAATAAAGAACGAGGCTGATTAGCAGGTCTAATGAGAGGATGTTGACAAGAACAATCTGAAGCCGTCGTAGCAGCGTTTAGTCGTTTAGAGTATGGCTCCAGTAGTTCTTAATTAAACATCCTATTTTATTTTTGTCATGTGCTTTCTTTGACGCTGTATGTATGCACATTGAGAGCTACTTAGACCACGTGTAAATATGCTTGTTCAAAGGGAATCCCAAGGAAACTGTGGATTTAAATAATTTTGTAAGGATACTTATAAGTCTTACTATGTGATGACACATGTTACGGATTAGCAGCATAAAACCCAACCGAACTGTGCTCAGTCAATTTTGATTGTGACTCAGCAGGAAGACAACTGAAAATTATCTGTGCAAAATCATTGCTATGAAACATCTGTTAACGACGTGAAGCTGAGCAAGTACACAAAAATAAACAAAAATAACCACCATGAAGTGGACACGGAGAGCATGAACTGTCCACTAACCTCACCCCGACTGGTCGAGGCAGATAACCGCCCTCGCTGCATCTGATTGTGCTCGAGATTTAATCTTGTTGAAAGGGGAGTTATTTTTGTTTTTTTACTTCCCACTAAAACTACACTGAACAGAAACTCATATGGGTTTAAAGGATATTCTGCAAAATAAAACCAAACATGTGGTGAAAATATATTTAACTGGTTTATATAAAAAAATATAACACACACATTGGCCTGAATAGAAACCTTTGTGACATTACAAGCATTAAAAAAAAAACACCTGCTCAGCTCACAGCAGGAACAACCACACACTGTTATATTCACCTAAACACTGGTTCCAATTAAGCTCAGTTTTATGGACACTAATGTGCAAATCATCAAACCTGTCCACACCATATTTGTAGCCTCACAAGGAAGAGGAAATAAAGAAAATTCTAAACCTAAACAAACATTTGTATCATGATAAATAACCCTATTGTGTCCTCAGTGTCTCATATTATCAGAGCACATGACCCTGATGGTGAAGGCCAAAAGCTGAGAACAATTTCATCATGCAAGAATAATTTTTATTTTTTTAACTAGCAGGTGCATTTGGGCCAAAAATCCTTACTCTGGGCAAACTGGGAATAGCGGAGTCATCTGGAAATGTAACTGCTCATTGATTGGACTGGAAGCAGCCAATCTGCTCTGCGGCACATGTTCAGTTATTTTGACTCCAAAGGATGCTGCATCCCTTTTACCTCCATCACTGCCATCCACTTGCCTTTTTTTTTTTCAGTAATGTGCAGATGACAGATGTACACACACACCTGCCTCGCCACGTTTCCAGGACACCACCACCACCATCATCAGGAGCCAATAAATCTTAATGGCCAAACACTGTGTCCCAGTTAGAGCTGCCTGGTGGCGGCTGCTTCATATCAGCTCCACCTTTTGGGGTCTCATTAATTTAAACGATACGAGGCAATGCTATTTATTAATGCATGCTCCCTGCTCTGTGTTTTGTGCTGCTGGAGTCACAATAAACCCTCATTATCTGGAAACCTTGAGGCATGTGGCCTCCTTAACACACACACACAGAGAGATGCTGCGTGAAATGTGTTTTGTCGCGCTAATAAGGGGAAAGGTAACCAGCGGAGGAGATAAGGGACGAGCCTGATTAATAGGGGCCTTGATTTTCTCGGTCACACTCCGGCATCAGCAGACACACGGTCACGCCGGCCCACGGAGTCCTCGGGGACCTTTACATCTCTAACGAGCCGGAGGAGCCCCGGCTGTAGCGGCGCTCAGCGGGAGGGGGGCTGCCGTAGCCTGTCCGGCTTCCTAACGTCCACACGTGTGCTAAAGTCAGCCTCACGGGATTAAAAATGGCACGTTTTGTACTCACTTGCCTGATGAAAGAGAAGACGGAGTCCACTTCCCTTCTCGGCTAGCGTGCCGACCGTTGGCTCGTCCCCGTGCTCTGTGTTGTTGAAGCGGAGCGGAGCGGGAGCCGAACACAGCCGACGGTTGAGGGCGAATGGTCGGTCACATAAACGGCGGGCGGCGGGGCAAGAGGTGAGAGCGTCTTCAGGCCCGGTTTCCTCCGAGGCGAGCTCCTTCTCTTCGACAAACGCGTTTTGAAACAGCTGCCGGACGCGCTGCCCATGGAGGGATTTTGCGTTTCATAAAGCCACGGGGGTTGACGTTCTCCATTCGCGCATGCCCACTTCGCCCTTGACGTCAAGTGCCAGCCTCTCGGTCCCGCCCCCCGAGCCGCGGCTCAGCCAATCGGAGGCGTGCTGGGAGGTGACGCAGCCCAGCCTCCCTCTGTGTGAAGATGTCAGTGTCTGAGCCTCCACCACTTTCTGTAATAATAACCTTTCTTGCATAAGCCGCCCGTTATTTCTCTGCCGTGCACAGTTACTTAACCAGCGCGCCGTTTACGGCCTCGTAAATTGTTAAATGGGGTCTTTCTGCCCGCCCTCCACTGTGCATTCAAGCCTAATGTATCCCACCACACTGCCACCTGATGGTTATTTATTTGCACTGCCTTCGTTGGCCTACATTCACACGCATGGGATCAGGCAATTATTCTGTCATAACACAGTTGGAACGAGGTTGGATAACAGGGCTGCACCGGCAGGCAGTGGAGGAAAGTGCATTTGCTCAGGCACTGGACTGAGTTAGTTTTTATGGTACTTCTGCACAACTGTTGTACTTTTTACTCTGACAGCTGCAGTTATTTTTCAAATGTCATAAAAATATAAACGCATCATGTAATATTTTATTAAATTCTACCTAAACACACACTTAACTAGTGTGTGGAGTAACTCTGAAATGAAGAATATATCACCAGCACCAACACTTTTAAGGCACAGCTGGTTAAACTGAACCCTTTTCTAATCAAAACAACAAAAATGAGTTGTTTTGTATAATTTACAGTTTCTCTAAGTCACCGAGGAAGATAATTGGCATGCTGTGTTCATATTTTAGTGCTTCAAAAACATATGATTAGGTCCTTAAACTCACCTTCATGCTTAAGATGAGATGTTTTCCAGTCTAAACCTCCGAGATGATTTCATTTAAATTACTGTTTGAGGCCTAAAGAAGTCAAAATAAAAGCAAAGATTAGAGGAAAAATAGAAGTAATGATCTAATAATATGTGTTTATTTATTTCACAAAGGCCAAACACTTTGAGGTTTGACACTTGCACATTTACTTAAGTATATTTTCAATTGCTTTAATTGTAGATTTGGAGAATTTCTTTAACTCTTTCCTGCAAGTACCAAAGCTGCTGAGCTGTACTTCTCGGTAATTAAGATTTAAGATAAAATAAACCTAAGTTAGGAGGATTCCAGCACAACTTCATTCTGTGGAGCCTGATAATATGTACAGTATGTTAAGGCTGTGATGAAATGCAGATATGGGATGAGCCCAATGCTACCTGAAAATATATGGGTTCCACTCTATTATTAAAGACGTACTGAATAATTTAAAAACCAGCCGACACCTGTGAAGACTTGTTAACACCTGGGAAAGCTGTTGGTACGGCGGATTTTCAAGCAATGGTGTGCCTGCTAACCAGAAGAAACTTCAGCATTCATTATAAGTCTGTCAGTCCCTCCTGGTTTGAAAATGAGCTCTGAGCCCATAATTGCATCCCTGTTTCTCCCAGCATTAGTTTCAATTAGTAATTAGTTTGTGGTGATCTCACTAAGATAAATTAATTTAGAAATGAGCACTATATAAGCACTAAATCAACCAAAATAGTAAAACCTGATTTGGGGGCCTTCTGCAAGAAATTTCACTTTGTTTCAGTTTATATTGTCCAAATTTTAAGTTTTTCCGATTGCTATTAACTAACTGTCAAACACATTTAAGCTGGAGTCTTTCACATTCAAGCCTTCAGGTTTGGAGTTGTAACCCATCTTTGCCCCCAAAGAAGAAATCTAATTTTCACTCACCCTGTGTCTCATTGTTGGTCTCCATCAGCTCCTGAGAAAAACACTAGTGAAGAAAAAACCACAACAAAACAGGGAGTGCTGCTCTGCTTAAAGAACAAGCCGAAAAACCAAAGAAAATACAATAATAGGTGCTCGTCAATGATAGGACTAGCAGTCGCTAACACACTTCCAACTCAGCTGAACATTCTCTGTGCTGATTTATCTATGCATCACTAAAAGGTTTTTATATTTAACTTTCCATATTTAAAATCAGAGTGCCTCGCATAGTCTTTGGACTGCTGACCAATACTAAAGACTTACATTGTTAGTAGGTAAGTAAGTAAGAAAGTAAGTTAACTATAAGCTGACTAGTAAGTTAGCAATTAGCTAACTTAGCTATTTGGCCTCCATGACCAGAAATATGTTTGGAGGTGAGAAGGTGTC